TGAAAAATCGGCAAGAATAATACGCACATCGCATGGGAGTGAAAAAAAAAAAGAGAATCAACAGTGAAAAGCGACCATATTTTATAGCCGGTCGATAAAGCACTTCGGTTTGTAGATTCACGTTATTTCGCGTTTATACGGTAAAAATATTTTTTCGTGCTTTATCGATCGTTTTAAGTGTGAAGAAAGGATTATTTTGGCAGCCTCGACAGTGAACTTGTGGGAAACCATTCCACTCTGGATTTTAATGGAATTTTTTTTTAATTCATATTGTTATACATTTTTTTTCTAAATTTATGTTGTTATACATTTTTTAAAAAATTTATGTTATTTAAGTTTATTTATTTATGTATGTATAACATACATAATAACAACAGTATGTATAACATACATAACAACAGCGAACAAAATAAAAAAATGGTCGGTCAAACGACAATGAAAAAAATAACATATGATAATCGATAAACTATATTTTTTAATAGATTATATTAAAATTTTTTCTAACTACTTCATTATAACATACAAAACAGTATTAATCCAAATCTAATTTTTATCTTCTGTTTATTGTTTATAGTTGCTTTCTTTAACGTTAATCTTATTCGGTCGTCGCATCGTAAAGTGGCTGTCAACTAACACATACTCTGCATAGACGCACAATTATAAGTATATGTACATATATGTATAAGGAAGATTCACTGTAACTGGACTGATATCTACAATTTTTTGCGAATATATCAAATTTAATCTTTATCTCTTATTTATAGTTATTTTCTTTGTTTTGTATTGTACAATAAAGTGGTTAGAAAAAATCTTAATGCAATTTAGGAAAAGAAGTAACTTGTCAATAAATGACACCGTATTTTATCTCTTTCAAGGACATTGCAGTTCGACCCAGTATTTTTTTATTTTTTTCACTGTTTATACGTTATAATAAACCGATTAAAAAAGGTCCTATCAAACTTCTAGGTGATCCTTCGACAAGTTCACAGCCTAGACATTGCGTCGATGATACTGTTGCAGATACTAAACGTAAAAAATAGGTCAGAGCGCAATTAGAGCGGTTACTTTTTTAAAGGACCGTGAGGTTGCTTTTACGAGAATTTTAAAGAACAGTGAATTACGAGATTTCAGTAATTTTTATTTGACCATTGTTGTACTATGTCATTTTATTAGCCAGTTTCAATTATTTCATTTTTTGGTTTTATTTAGTAAAGCACAAGTTATTTTATAAAATGATAAATTTACAAATTTTACTTTTTATATGAAAAAATTGATCGTAAAAAATATATCTTTTTATTAAAAAAAAAAAAAAAAAAAAAAAAAAAAAAATAGATGGGAAGAAACTTTTGGCCCACCCTATATTTGCCTGCTGGCAGTATTTCGTTTCGATAGCATCGACTTCCTACGGAGAATGTATCGGTATACAAGTTTATACCAGAGGAGGAAAAACTAAATTCGGTTTCCGTGTATGGATCGAAAGGAAGCAAACGCTATAACAGGAAGTCGCATTATTCGATGCGCTATTATTCGAGGATCACGCTTGAGCAACGTTCAGGGCCGAGAGCCGCTGATGAACACGTTTTATTTCTGATGTTCTTCCAACAACAAACTAGGAAACAGCTGGAAGAAGTTAAAACTCCATTTACTGTAACACCTTCGGGGCATCGTTAACAGATTCTACCGTGATTACTTTGTTATTTCAAAATGGCGATCACTTTGGGAAAATGTTATTATCACAGATCAAATAATAGCAATAATATTATATTCACGATACGAGCAACAGTATATAAGTATACTGCGCGTTTACGAGTCACAAACAAGTGGAAGACATTCAACTCTGCAACTGTTTAGTTGACAACTTCTCGCGTGAATTCCTCCTCGTCTCAATTATATTCATAAAGATGCAAATTTACATAAACATCCGCCACGTAATTACGTATGAAATGTATGATCAAATGTTACAGCGAATCCAATTACGACGAGACGTACGAACTGGTAGCTATGATGAAGTGTTATGGCTATACTTTCATGAGCAATCGTGAGAAGACTGCACTTATTGCGAGTTGAAAATATAAAATAAACGTCCGAAATATTATATTTGCAAAAATAGAAATTTGCATCTATACTGTAAGTATAATAACGTAACGTCCGTACTATGTAACTGTAATAATGAGATTTCAAAGTATCTTGTGCAACATGCATAAACCAAATTCCTTTACGACAAATATTATCGATACTTTAACAAACGTATTCGTCATTACGTATCTTTCATGGCTCACACAAAATTAATATAATTCTAATATTAAAAACAACGAGGGTATCGTTTACATCTGAATTCATTCGTTATCGACGAGAATCTCAAGCGAATTACCAGCGAATCCACGCGATTCTAAGGCTTCGGCCTCGAGCATCGTTCGAAACGAACAAAGTTTTCCCAGTGTGAAATAAGCCAGCCTTTAAATTCCCATCCCGGGCGCTCGTAAACATCGACGCGGAATCGCGGCGAGAGTGAAAATATTTTTTTCGAACGGTGCACTGGCATTCACGCGCAATCGATAAGTCGTAATCGAAGCTATCGCGGAGTCTCGAGTCTCGAACAGGCGGCGCCGAGGGATCGATAATGCGGCCAGAGGGGAAAAAAGAGGAGAATAACAAACCAGCTTGCCACGACGTGAATTGGATTGTACGTGAACGCGTTGTCTCTTATTTTATACATATACTATATATATATATATACGAGCTATCGGACGGCGTTGTACACAGTTGGCGTTTCTGTTCGATACCTTGAAATCCGATTCGTCGTATATTCTCGCTCGCGTAGGAAACTTCACTTTTCCGCGGGCTCTGCGCCGCCATTCTCAGCCTTCTCTTTTTATAGAAAGTCGCCCGATCTCGTTGTTTCGATCGCTCGAAATGGCATTCCCTTTCCGTTCTGACGCTCCTTTCCCGCGTCGCGATTCCGTTTTGTCCGCGTAACTTCCTCTATTTTTCGTTTTTTTTTTTTTTCTTGGTCAAGTTTTATGCTGATCGTCGATCACACTTTTCCTTATCGATTCGTCGCTTTTTGTTGGAACGTAAACTATCAAAGGTCTTTGTTCCGTCAGTGGAATTATTCTTTTCCTCTTTTTTTTTATTATTATTTAATTTTTAAGATTTTTGCAAACATTCTTTTGGTGTTTCTGAATCTCCGAAGACATTGTATTCTTTATCATTAATATTACCTTTCATTCTCAAATTTTCTAGTGTTCTTGATTGCATATTTCGTTTATTATTAAAACTACTCCTTTACTCTCGAAACTCTTTAATTTTTTACATTCTTGGAAGGTGTTAAAAGATAATTTAATGCTCGATGCACTTTTTACATTTTATAACAACATATATCAGCTAATCATTTTATAATACCTTCACACAGGTAGAAAACATTAAAAATAAAATGACGATAAAAACGTGTCATCAAAAATTTAAAAAAAGAGAGAGCTGCGTGTAATTTGAGTTCAATTTTTATCGAGCAAGATTTATCTCGCGTACAATATAATTTTAATTTAGGACCAGGCTCCTCTTCACGTCGCGAATCGATCGTTCGTCGTTACAGCGTCGAACGTGAGCCATCTTATAAATTTTAATCGTGGCTCGAAAGTGGTATTCCTATTAATCCTAAAAAATGTTGAGGAAGAAATGTAAGATTAACTCCAATAAATATAAAAAAAAATTGAAATTTTAATCATTTTTTATTTAATAATAATCCTGAATATAAAAGAAATCAATGAATAAATCTTGAACTTCTTTCATATTGAAAATGACCAATAACATAATATGAATCGCGTAAAATAATATCAATTGATGAATTGAATGGAAGTATAATTAATCCTAGTTAATCCTCCTAGTTAATCCTCCGATAGTAAATATTACAATAAATCTAATTGATCATAAAAATGAAATATTAAAAATTAATTTTGATCCATGATATGTAGCTAATCATCTAAAAACCTCGCGATATCGCCGAGGAACACTTCAGTGAATTTCTCCGTGGACGAAACGAGACAAGAGGCGCTTCAGCTTCGGGCCGAGCGCAATTTCGTTGATCCAAGTTGGCCTAAAATGTTTCTCGTCGATTCTCGCGTGTCTTGCCAGTTGAATGTCAGCTTCCTAGTCAGAATTTGTCTGGCACAATCAGCTGTTTTTCTATTATTGATACCCGGAGCTTCAGAACAAACAAAGCTGGTAATTTTTTAGATCTACAGAAGCAGAATTTTCCAATTCGTGACTTTTCTTGGAGATTTTTAGCAAGGTGAAACTTTTTCCGAAGATCTCGCAGATTCTTGGACCAATCTACAACTTTCTTTCTTTTTTTCTTTTCACAGGGATTTTATATTTATTCACAGGAGTATATCTTAATTCGCCAACGTCTTTTTTTTTTTGTGGAAACATTATATTTACTCAGAAGAGTGCATTTTCGGAAGGTTCAACAATTTCAAAGAACAAGCTCAAACCTTCGATAACTGAGGTTCAACCAAACTGAAGAAACGAAATTTGAAAATGAATCGATGGGCACGACCGCGCCAATTAACGATACTCGGATTTAGATCCAGAGGTAACGATCGCGTCTTGAAAATGACATCAATTTCGACGCCGTGTGTCCGAGTGTACGCATTCGTTTCGCTGAATTGCACGCCTCCGAGAGGATTCACCGAGGCGAGAACAGGCAGAGAAAGGGACGCAGAAAGGGTTGAATTCGCGAGCGCGTGCGGCTATTAAATTTTAATGGTACACCGTTCGTGCAGAATGAATTTTAATAGCGGCGAGTATGAGGCCGTGCGCGATTTATTAAAATCCGGCCGACGCGTGCACGTATTTTCGCGAGGTGGCGAATAAATCAGCCCGCAGCCTTTATCGTCGCGTCTGAATAAAAGAGAGAAAAAGAGAGAGAGAGAGAGAGAGAGAGAGCATCGTTGCTCGAAACTTTCCATCGTAGCGGTGGTTCTTTCACGGCTAAACGGTTCATTAGCCCACGGACTTTGACTTGCAGCGGCGTAGCTGTAAAACAACGTGTAAGTGAACGGTGCGCTCCGCTTCTTTCGCGTTTATAAGCGACGCTGAACTCGATCGGGCCCGACAGCCGGGTAACTGTGCAATCTGCCGCGCTCACCTGGAACTGTTCGCGTTCGACTCACGATCGAATACCTGGCTTTTTGGTAATTATCGAACGATCGAACGTATACGAGAACGAGAAGTGTGAACAGTTGGTTTCTATTTAAGAAAATGGTAAGTCCAGACCGATGGTTTCGGCCATTATTATCGTAAAAATATGGCTGGTGCGTCTTCGTTTTTAAATATCGTATATTCTAAATACGAACGAATGTTTTCATTCATTCTCTTATATGTTTAAATACCGTTTGTTTCAGCATTTTCTTCTGTTAACTTGATTAACACGATCCGCGAAGAATCGTTGGTCTTTCTGTTACTCTTAAACATTACAAGACAATTGTATCAAGACTTTTCTCACTCATTTTCCCTATATTTAATTATTGTTTCATTATCGATCAATGATCGGGAGAAACTGCTCGGTGGGAGTTCTCATCGAAAATTCGCTGTTGAGGCGCCGTGAAATCGAGCGAATTCGATTCTGCAATAACATTATTGCTCGCTTCGATGTTCACAGTTCCCCGCTCTCGACGATATCGCAACGATTGGCTAAAAAATGTTAAAGGGGTATTGTTGTAAAAAGCGAGGCAACCTCGACGACCGCAGAAATGAAACCGAATCGAATTAGCCGGTTAAGATATATGCGCAGATATTTGTGCGTGTACACGCAGCACGTGTGTAACTGTAAATTCGACGACGTGCTATATATATGTATATGTATATATATATATATATATATATATATATATATATGTACTCGGTTACTCGTGTTAGTTCCAAGCGACTCGCGATATCTCGTCGCCTTTCACTCGGCTATACTTCGCGCCATCGTGCAGCCACGAGTTGCGCAACGATATGTTAGTTCTCTTGCATTGCAAAACGAATGTGTAGATATATAATACGTGTATATACATAATATATACATGGCATATAACATGGCCGTGTATGATCGTTACCGTTGCATTGTCTTCTTTCTCGTGACATTCCCATTTAATCTCGATAGATATTATTATAGTATATTAGACACGATGTGCCGGATGAAATGGAAGGATTTATGATAAAATTTTACGGCGACCGGATTGTGCGTCTATTAATTAAAAAGATAGAGAACTCGGATGAAATTAATCGAAATAAAATTTGAAAAAAGTTGGAAGCTCGAAATCAAATGAAAGTTCGAAGATACAAAACTTCATACGAAACTAAACATAAAAGTTTAAATGAAATTAAATCTAACAAATCAAGTAAGTCAATTTCTGCTTGAATATAGACAGAATCTCATGGGACACACTTGTTTCGATCAAACAAAATGTCCAAAATACAAAAATTCAAATAAAATTGACACTCAAATTATGGTCCGTGCTTAGACCGACTACTTATAGAATCCTTGACGGAGCACAAATTTCGTTTCATCAAATGTCCCAAGCACAAACCATAATTTGGTTAATTTCATTCGAATTTTTTTTTATATTTCCGACACCTCCACTGGAGAATCTCCTTGACACCGCGTGCGGCAAGAAAAGAGAAGAGAAGAGAAGAGAATTCTTTCACGGACGACGGGGCAGAACGTGGCGGTGCGAAGCGCGGTGCCAGAAACAAGGGTGACATAATCGCCGCGCGATCGATGTGTACTCGCCTTATCGAGTGTCGGAAATACCGTTCATGGGGTCGTCGTCGACGTTAAGGATTTGCCCCAATTGTGTCTCGGCCAGTCACGATTCCCTCTTGTTCACCGGTGATGAAATTTTCGATGTCGATTGCCCCATTTGGATAAAGATTCGGATTGTCAGCGTCGATAAGTCTCGACGATCGGCCACGTCCTAAATTATATTTCACCGCTTGTCGTGGCGCTTGATGTATCGACTAGGCACATTTTCTCTGCTTGATAGTCTAATTTCCTACCTTTCAGTTCGACGCAACGAAGCTTTCAGAAATTATGAGGCTTATACCGTACTCTAGAAACAGTCTGTGGTTACGAGACATTTCGTAACCATGAAAAACGGAAACGCTGGTAGCAGCTGACATTTCATACCTGATAAGTTACTTTGTAAAACCGTTGTATCGTGATTTACCAACTAATAACATTAACTGTAAGGTAACAGACTTTGTTTCACCTTTATGCTAGGCACTTGAAACTCTTCTTTCGTTTCCCCTCCTCGTTTGTTGAAATAAGATCCATTTGTCATTTGCTTTCTGCTTGAAAAACAAGTTCATTTGTCGGGGAAGTAAAATACAAAAATCCAAGAATAAGAGCAGTAAATTTAATCTTCTCGTCGACTAATTGTTCTCATACTTCTCGAGGTTGTAACTCAAAAAAAAAAAAAAAAAAAAAAAAAAAAAAATCACCACGTAATAATTGTACGTAATAACAATCCACGTTTTTTAAAAATTTTAGAAAGAGTATAGCGACCTCTACTTTGAAGTATTAGATCAATGATATCCATGTTCATTAAATTGTTCCATCGAGATGTGTATTTAATATAAACAATAGAACATTTAAAAATTGTTATTAATTTTATTATCACCATGGAAATGTTTTCAGATACTTATATATATTGTAACCATAGTAGAAATTCTTCATTCGTTATTTAACTTCCATTATGTAATCTTCATTAAATTATTAGTAATTGTATATTTTGTTATATTGATAATATTTTTATATAAACAACTAAAACTTAATTACGGAGTTATTATTTATTTGTAGTATTGTGATATAAATTTAAATTATCATAATCACTACAAAAGATTCGTTTAATCTGCCATCTAGTGTTAAATTTAGGGCAAAAATATCGAGCGAAATAGAACGTCGTTTGTCTGGTTCGACGACACCGTAAAGAGTGGAAGCAGGTCGTTGAAAGCAGTTGGCATTAAAGAGCGCGTTGTCCGTTTCCCTTTCGAATGTCGTTTTGACATTTGACGTGGCTGAGACGTGGCGCGTGCAAGAGACTTTGTCTCTGAAATCGAACGTCCGATATATCTTTGCGCGAGCCACGAGCGGAGATAAATGAAATTTCCCCGGAAGTTCGCCGGAAGTTCCGCGAGTCAGGGAATTCCACGCGGCTGTTGCCAGCGAGAGTTTCTCTCTCTTCGTTGCGGAGATCTTCCGAGATGCTCGCCGAGTTTCCCCAGGTACATCTATCTTAGGTGGGAAGACGTTTGTAACGAGTACGAGCGACGCTGAGTTTTGAAAACAGATACACCAGAAAGTACGGAACTTGCCCCGCAACTAACAACGATACACGTCGCGAACTCTATTTTTCATTTACCAGAGTGCATCCATCTTTTTCTCTTTTAATTCTTTTTTTTTTTTAATTTCTGTGAAAAATTACGAACTGACTACTTTGACGATCGTGCTGCTTGAGAATTTTTTTTTTTTAAACTATAAGACCTTTTGCATTAATCTCTTGCATAATTGTGATTATTGACATTTGAAGAATATCCACCATTTTTTTCAAAGCAAAGATAATTAAAATTACGCGAGTTATATACATTTGTACGAGGAGCTCTTTAACAAAGAAGTGTCTCGTCTGACAAGATACGAGCCATTCTACTTACACGAGAGGAAAGACTAAAAACTCGCGTAATTTTCATTATTCCAACCTGAAACAAAATATAGACTATTCTCCAAACATTAACAAACGTTTACGTAAAAAAAAATAAGTAAATAATATAATTTATATATAATATTCGTGTTAATCTCACTTTACATTTACGGTTGCTTTACGAACAATTAAAAGTATAAAATACATTACACGCTTTTCGAGCGGCAATCTAATTCAATCTAACGTCGTCTAATTTGTCAAGAGATACGCGCAGACCGTGATTTACGTCATTATGTGAATATGTTCATTCGGTGGTAAAACGACGCGACGTTACGATCCCGTTCGATTTGCTAAACGATAGGGAATATGAATTTACTCGGCGCGATATAGACAACATCGCGAACCCGTCTCTGGTGAATATTCGGCGCGTTAACAAGTTGGGCAAATACTATACGGCAGTAACCAAACTCCCACACCTAGTAATTAACTATAATTTACACGCTAAATGGTGCTCGCTAGTCTGTCAACGCAGATACGCTATTTACTTTGTACAGTAAACGCCGATCGCTCGATCGTGCCGCAATCACGAAAATTCTGCTCGCTCGCTCGCTCGCTGCAATCACGATTCATTCGACTTTCCATACGATGTTTACGAGTCACCTGATTTTGACACGAATCCTTCGACTCATCTTGTTGCAACAGAATTTGTCAAAATTCAATTCGTTTAACAGGGAATGTGCAAGAGCGTGAAGATTTATTGTTTTTTTAAAACTAATGCTCTGTTCCACGTGATTGATTCGTTACAATTAGAAATTAAAAGTAACAAGAGTGATCTCGTGCGTGAATCTTTTTTAAAAATATTCCAAGTACCCGTAAGTAATATAATATATATAATATTTTTTTTTTTTAATTTAATAAACATTGCCATCTAGTGACAATAATTTAACTTGCTATAACGTAACTTATAATTTAATCTAATGCTCTGTTCCACGTGATTGATTCGTTACAATTAGAAATTAAAAGTAACAAGAGTGATCTCGTGCTTTTATAAAAATATTCCGAGTACTCGTAAGTAATATAATATATATAATATTGTTTTTTTTTTAATTTAATAAACATTGCCATCTAGTGACAATAATTTAACTTGCTATAACGTAACTTATAATTTAATCTAATGCTCTGTTCCACGTGATTGATTCGTTACAATTAGAAATTAAAAGTAACAAGAGTGATCTCGTGCTTTTATAAAAATATTCCGAGTACTCGTAAGTAATATAATATATATAATATTGTTTTTTTTTTAATTTAATAAACATTGCCATCTAGTGACAATAATTTAACTTGCTATAACGTAACTTATAATTTAATCTAATGCTCTGTTCCACGTGATTGATTCGTTACAATTAGAAATTAAAAGCAACAAGAGTGATCTCGTGCGTGAATCTTTTTTAAAAATATTCCGAGTACCCGTAAGTAATATGATATATATATATAATATTGTTTTTTTTTAAATTTAATAAACATTGCCATCTAGTGACAATAATTTAACTTGTTATAACGTAACCTATATTTTAATTAAATATATTGACATTTAATGTGCTTGTTGTTAAATTACATTACAGATTAAAACTGTAATAACTCTTAAATGAAATAGAATGTTTGCACAGTATCAAAAATGTATAAACTAGTAATTATAAATTATACAAAAAAATTAAATTTCTTGGGAAATAAAAGTGACAAGAATAATTTAACCTACGAACCCTTTACCCTTCCTCTACTGTGTCATCAAAAATCGAGTCCGGCGAAGAAGACGAGAACTGGCAGGAACAATTTCATCCGTTCCCCGTGCAATTGCCTTTCGACGTCCGTAACACGGGGACGTACTCGTAAATCGATCGACAGACACATAAAATATTCGTGGGTGAATTTTCATGGAGAACAATCCAGATATCCACTCCGTTTCCGGTTGTTCGATCTGTTCGGCGAGTGTATTTACGAGACACGTAAAACCTCAATCTTACGCGAGTCAAACGGCGATTTAGGGGGCTTCCTAGCAAAACGAGATTTATATCCGCGAGCGGGGATGGGCCATAGACGAGACCTCAATCTCTGCCGATTTCCATTTCCGAGTTTATCATCCGAAACAGACCGGAGCATCGATCTCGCGCGTCCCTGTTTGACCAGCTCATAAATAACAGATCGCGAGCGGACCCGATCGTTAGTAAATACTTGATGACAAGCGCTTCAAGGATGGAATATCAATCGGATTGAGATTCTAACTTGTACTGGCGAGCTTCTACGAAGTAAACCCGGATGACTGACAGAGTGAAATTTTCAAGACGGAACGGAGGATTTGGAGAACGTTCGATTTTTTTCTTTTTTTTTCCTTGCAAGCTGCGGTGGTTCGCGAAGGAACTTCAGAACGTAGGGAATTTTTTTGTCTCTGTTTATGTATTACGGAATATTCAGAAATTTGAAAATTTGACAAATTTCTAGGCAGTGAATTTAGGCAAAATATATTTTAGGCATATTTTTGAGAATGTAATTGAAAATTTAAAAAAAAATATATATTATATTATTATTATATAATATTTATTTAATTTAAATATTATATATTATTATTATAATATTATAATATTCTTTAAATAAATATTATATATTGTAATTAAAATAATATTATTATATATAAAATTATATTATGATATTATATTATTTAATTATTGTATAATATACCGTATACTGTAATATTAATTTAATTCATTCTATATTTTGAGACGTTAAAAACTGAGGGAAGATTATAAATGATAAACGTAAAAAGTCGTAGAAAACCCTACGCTTCTACATTCTGAAGTGAGATTATGCACTTTAAAACATACTATTCTATAAAAATCCTCGTCATCATTTAATTTAACTGCAGTTTCTTTTCTTCTACAACTGTTGAAGTATTTTCTCGAACCTTCTGAAGAGAAGAGCTAGCCGAAGTGCGCCGCTGAACGAAAATCTTGGCAACGCCGACATTTGCATTCAATGGTCCAGAACCGGATCGGAGCACGAGCACTCGAGAACGCTGACGTTTCTTAAAGTTAAGCAGTGTGAAATAGCGCGTCGACGGTCGAAAATCGTTGCATCCCGACGACAACGACGACGACGTCGGGGAAATAAAACAGCCTCGACGTCGAGCACTCTGTTTCATGCCAAAAAGTCCGATGGGTGCTTCTCGAGCAGAGTCTCGGCGAATCCCGGTCGCGTCGAGTGTCAAGAGTCGACGACAATTTCGAGATCGAATTAATTAACTATTCTCGGCGAACGTCGACGAAAAGTGTTCTCGAAAGGAAAAATAAAGAAAATGAAGTTGGCCGCGACTGCTAAAAAGGATGAAAATGAGACGTGGTTTATTATGTTGTTCTATGAAACATATTGAAACTTCGTCAACACTGTAACGTGAGATTATCATCCTCGTATTGATAGAGTTTCAAACAAGTCTAGAGATTGTTTACTAGAAATATATCGTATAATATATTTTACACTATAATTGTAATTTAATTTATTTTATATTTTGACTATAATTGTAACTGAATTTATTTTGAGAAGTTAAAACTAGTTCAGTCAAAACTATTTCATTCGTTATATCGATCCAGTTTGAAAGAAATTCGACAAGATCAGAAAAAGTTATAAGAAAGGCTATAAACTATAAGTACACAATAAAATACAAAACACTACATTGAACATTTCATGTATTCATTCTCTTGAAAAATAGAAATAAAAATAAAAGATACTGCATTTTAAAATTCCCTACGCAGAAAAAT